AAACTTTAGAGAGCTGTTTGTATGCAGCTGGGACTGAATTTACAGACTACCTTTCTCTGACTTGCTAAAAAGCTAAGGATTGACAACCCCTTTCATCCTGCATTATCCAGTGTAGCTTTTAACTCCAAGAAAACTATGTTCACAAATTGATGCTCTGCTCCTCTGGGGTTGGTGCAGAAACATTAAATTGTACTAAAATATTCATATGTGAGTGCATTTAGCTGAAAGCAATTGATGTGCTTTTCCCTAGAGAGAGAAAAAAAAAATTGCTGTATGGCCCTGCACTCCAGCGGACACCCTAACAATGCTTAAGAGTAATTACATAGCTTGGTTGATCAAGGGTTCTTAAAGTGAAAAATAAACTGTAGTTGCAGTAGAGTTTAGCAACGTGTGTTTCTTGAATGGAACATATTCAGCTGCATCAAAGGAGCACATACTGGATAATTGTTTGATATACAGTGTAACATATATGAACTAGTGTCAAGCCAGAAAATATTTTATTGGGTTAATAGCTTGTAATTGGAAGGAATCTCTTGTATAAAGCAACTTTCATTACAAAGATTTCTTTCTAATTTCATTGTCCTTTCACTCTTGCAAAGAAAATAAAATATCTGAGCTGCCTTTAAAAAGAGAACATGTGCCAAAGGGGTTTATTAAACTAGCCTGTTTAAAAGCATGCCACTGGTAGGATGATAAATTGATGTACACTGAGGGTTTTCAGCGTAATTCAAAAATTGGCATAAAAATCAATAGTAGCTGATGGCATGCTTGCAAAGTAACTACCTCATCTTGTGTTGCACCTGTGGAAGATGCACAGTAGTCTCTTAGAGCAGCCTTCAAAGTCACTGTAACTTACAACTAAACATGGTTCTTGTGGTTTTCTTAAGGAAATGTACCTTAACTGCCTCAAGACAGCCTAAGGCATTTTTAATATTCTCATAAGTAAAAAGGAAGTAATATTATGTACCACAAATTATTCTGTAAATAATTGGAAGAGTCAGTATGCACAGGAAAATAACTGCATTGGTATGTTCATAATTATAATCATCCACATATGGCACTCTTGTGACATTTTCCAGACAGCATATAACTGGCTATATGGATTCTGGAGTCAGTTGTGCAGATTTGTGCACGTGAAGTCTCGTGGACTTGCTGTAGATGCTCATAATGGAAATTGGGGACATTTAAAGAAGAAATAGGAATTTAGAGGATGGTTAAGGGTTTTTTTTTTTTTCTTCATTTTAATCATTAGCATGCAATGACTTCTCTGCAAGACATACCATGGTCATGTTTGTCAAAAAACAATACAAGGCTAGTTTAATACTTTAAATAGCAAACGAGAAGTTAGATTCTTGATTTGGAATCTTGCCTTTGAATAGGATGAATTTGGGAGTTGGAGTTGGTGTGGGGTTGTTTTTTTTTAGGGTTGTTGTGATGCAAATCTGTGCTTACAAAGTTTGAGGTCTCTGTTAGGGCTCTGACTCCCACTGGGGTCTCATGGGATATTGTGTGGCAGGACAAATTAAAACACTCTTGGCCTTTGTGACAGTTTGCTGGCAGAATCAGCTTTGGCTGCTGCTGTAGCCCTTGTGAGAAGTGTGATGGGTATATTATGTGCTGACGCTCCCACCTTCACGTGTTCCCATTACTGACATACCACGCCCTTTCTGCAGTAGCACATCTTCAATGTAAGTACTTCCTGATGCTGCCTTCCTGCCCTCTGCTTCGTACGCTCTTTGGCTATTTGGTCCGTTCAACTTCCTGTGCCCTCCAGTGTGCTCTTTCTTACTGTTAGCTCTGTTCTCTGGTGTCCCCCTGTGCTGATGTCTGCTATCTGTTTAATAAAAAATAAAGATTTGTGGCATGGCTGTGACATCTGTACAGTCATTATTTTCTGAAATAAAGTTACTGTGAGGCAAGACAATTGTCTAATCTGATGCTATGTCCTTAAATACCACCAAAACTTTGACTTACCTTTAACTGCCTTTGGGACTTCATCTTGTGTCAGGCAGTGCAGTGAGCCCCTTGGTACAGAATCTGTGTGCTGTTTTGTTAAAGACATTCTCACATGGCACAGTGCTGGCAGCAGCCCTTCAGAAAAAACCTGCCTGTGCACACGCACCAGGGAGTGATGAATGCCACTCCATGTCCTGGCCTTTGACTTAAGTGCCTGTAATTGTAGGCTCTGGATCAGCCACCTGACAGCAGTAATGAGAGCAGCTTCCAGGGATGCAAAAAGCAGAAAAAAATGTGAAGTTGGTGTAAAGCCATCCTTGTTGGCACCTGAGGTGCAATCCAGACTCTGGTTCATGCCATTTTGTGCCTTGGCATGGGTCTCCGGCACAGATGAGCTCTGAAGAACTGAGATCTCCTTCCAGACCTCAATGTGCTTTCTGCTGCGATGGCAGGCATGTCACACAACGCAACTGGAAGTGCTGCTGATCCGTGCTACTGATCTGCTTGCCTTTTCCCTCCCTCACTTACTTCATAGTGCTTGGGGCTACAGTCTGGACTAGGGACTTTGAACACTTAACACAGTAGAAATGATAGGACTCAGCAAAATGCATGCCAGAAGTTAATGATTTCAGGGAAAACATCAAAACAAGGGTATTACCCTGAAAACAACTTAGAGATCTGAATTTCTTTTATGGCCTCTCTGGATGACCAGTTGAATTCCCTCCTTGGACAGTACTGAACAGTTCTGAATCTTTATCATTCAGACCTTGTGGGTCCTTTGTTTCCCTCCTACTAAATTGTAGAATAAATCTAAACTAAGATTTAAGCAGCCAAATGTATTTTACAGTATGGAACTGTCAGTAAGAAACATGCTGTCCTATATGCTCTTTGTATGAAAGGATTACTGAGGTGATCTGCCATAAATGTTAGAGCCTGCAGAATGGACCAGTTATCTCAGCCAGAGGGCCAACAGCACATAACCTAGAAGGGCAAAGCTTAGATACGAAATAAAGGCTTTTTAGACAAGCCTGGTGATTTACAAATGTCCTTTTAATGAAACATCCTTGTCTTTCCTAGATATTTTAATAGAATCTATACATAGGCATCTGGATCCTCATTAGCTGGATTCTTTCCAAAGACTGAACTTCACAATGTTAAACGGACTGATAAGAGTATCTGGTAGTCTAGATGACTGGCTCTTAATGAATTGCTCTTAAAAAAAAAAAATAATCAAATTACAGTAATGTGTTTTTAAAAAGAGCTTGTATTAAAGACTATATGATGTTAGAATAATTTCTCCTGTAACATCTGTTCTTTTATTTGGTATAATTAAAATATTGCATTCTTACCGTGAGTTCTTATATGGACATATTGTATTACAGTGCAGCTGTGGTTAAAATGCATTGACCTCCAATAGTAATCTACTCAGTAAAAAGCTATTCAGGCTAAGAAATTTCTGAGTGTCTTCAGCAGCTCTGTGTTTTTGTGGAAATACATAGACTAGATTCCGTGTTTCAATTTCAAAGCAAGCCTTTTTAATAGGAAATACTTTGTTCCTGCTCTGTTTTCCTGCCCCTTCAATTATTACAGGAGATAGCTTTTGTAGAAAAGCTTCATAAATTTTATTCATCTATTCCTAATTAAAACCCAGTGTAATAGGTGAAATCTGTAGAAACATCAGAAAGCAATCATTTTTTTTTTTTTTTTTTTCTTTAATTGATCTAATGACTATCAGGCCTGTATGGAAAAAGCAGTCCGCATGGTCTCTGTATTTGAACACCTTCCTTTGCCAGCCTCTTGTGTAGGTCTGTGCCTGTTCCACAGCTGTGCTTTGTTCTGTCATGTTAAAAGCCACTTTACTGTAATGCACATCTTCAGTTGCATAGGGCTAAGATTTTTTGACCCTCTTACCCTCCCTGGCCCCAAAAATAATTTATTGAATTAGATTTGTATGTTCTTAAAAATGGACTAACCTTGGTATTTTTAAAAGAGAAATTCTGTTAGCATTTGAGGTTGTGTCTTTTCTAAGCATGTATAAATACCACCTTTTAATTGGTTTTGACAGATGTTCCCCTAACTAGTTTTGTGTGTTGGAGTTTCCTCTTACGAATGAGTTAGTGCAAAGTACTTTCTTTGGTTTTCCTCTGTAAAATGAGGTAGCGAAACAGTACAAGTTTGAGTGCTTCTTGGACTTGCAGTGGTGGGAAAACTATCACGGAGCTGAAAATATACTTGGGTTTGGATAGATTAGAGCCTGGGTGACTTTCAGCCCGAGGGGCAAAACTGCTTTTCTGCTGTGAATTAAAACTGCCAGTGTAGATCTATTTGCCCATAAATTGTCATTTATTTTGAAAGTAAATCTTTTTGGAGATGCTAGATTGGGAGCCCACAAAGTGTATAAAGATCGACCGCATGTTGGTGCCTACCTGGGCAGCACTTCTTTACTCATTCTGTGTAGGAGTTGATACTGAATGGGGGGAGAAAAGCTTTAGGGCATATGAACATTGAGGGTTGACATAAATCATAGAAGCTGTACCTGCAAGTGTATGTAATGCACTAACCCGCTTCAGTATCTGAAATGTTATATCCTGCCATGTAGGAAACTTTTTAAAGGTTTAAACACTTGAATTTCAGCTTTGTGCATTCTGTCTTATTTGAAGGATCCCAGAGGCTTCAAACAAAAAAGCCTGGGTTTTTTCTGTAGCTGCATTATCCAGTTGTAGGTTATCTTGCTTAATATTTGTGCTGGGAATCTCCAGGGTCCTGGATAACACTGCCCTGTCCTCTAGCTGAGCAGTGTCTTAAGTTTGATGCAGCTCTCTTTCCTCCCCATCAGCCTTTGCCAGACACCCCTTTGGGATTCTCCCTTTACAGTGACATTGCATCCCCAAGTGGGGAAGGGAACCAGTTGTCAGCTGCCTTTAATACTGAAAACTACTGTCAGTAAAAACTACTGCATGTGACTGATTGCGAGTAAGGTTTGTGCGAGTTTACTGAAACTATGTCGTGGGTACCAGAAATGTCTCGTTTTTGTTTTCTTCTAGGAACTTTATATTGCCGTGGGAATATCTGGAGCAATCCAACACTTGGCTGGGATGAAGGACAGCAAGGTATGTAAAGGTGGATGTGCTAGAAAGGATTTTTGAGGAAGGAAATGAGTTGACTTCCTTGCTTTTACATCAGTACTCAAGCCAGATTTTCTTTTCTTTTTTTAAATGGTTAAAATTGCCAGTTTGCTTCTTTAAAACACGCTAGCCCTCTAAGTCTTGCCAAAAAAAAAAAGATGCTGTGGCAAAACACCTAACAAAGTAGAAAAACCATTGCAGTACAACCCAAAGTGGTAAGTAGAAGCAGCTAATTGACTTTGTTTATTTTTTTACAGACAGAACACATAGGTCTGAATTGTATACAATAGTTTCATTTGCATTTATTTCAGAGTATGACGTATTAATTCATGCATAACAATGTGCAGTTTGAATTATGAACTTACTATTCCATAAAGAAAAAGATGTGTCTGACATTCCTGCATTTAGCCATTCAAATGGAAACCTATTATAAAATGGCAGTAAAACTTTAAAAGGTTTAACTTGTTCCTTGCCAAAGCAAATAACCTGAAATTGGAATTGCCAGCTTGGTCCACAGTGCAGTGTTTGGAAAGAGGAGCAAAATTACCTGCTGAATCATACTATCAAGTAGCAAACATCAACAAGCGTAGGTTGTCCTGCCTCCCCGCAAGTAATTTTAGAAAAAGTACAGATACTTTTTTTTTTTTTTTCCTGTTTCCAGGGAACAAATTTATGCTTTCTGGCAGAAACCAATCCCAGAACTTTGCATAGCTTATCAAACTGAGGTGTGCAAAATGGTACAGGCAGATCCTTGTGCTTAACCAGTCACAGACTAGTGAATGTATGTGATTGGTAATTGTCCTCACAAGCTGGCCTGTGTGGTAGGATGATCTTTGCTTTCTTACACTTTAGTTCTTTTTGCATATATATATATGTGTGTGTGTGTGTGTGTGTATATATATATAAAAATATATAAATTTTTAATTATTATTATTATTTTTTTGCGGGGGGGGAATCATGTAAGCTGGATTTGGGATACAGCACCCTAGAAGATCCTTGGTCTTCTAAAATCAGGGACTCAAGCTGTGGCAGCAGTAGTCAACACAATGGAGAAAAACCAACCAAAATTAGAAATTAAGGATGAACGATGGTCTGGGAGGGAGGTCACTGTTGGGAAGTGTGAATAACAGTATCTGTAGCAGTGTATTCTCACCGGTCTTAGCAGAACAGCGTTGCCATAGTCTCTTCTACTCACAGTGCAGCAACAGGGAGACAGCAGGGACAGTCAGACAGCGGGAGAGTCTGTGAGAGCAGCACTGGTGCGGTCCTACCACGGTCATCCTCTGCTCCCTCTGGACTCTGCTGATGGGTTACGGTGTTAAAAGTGTCTTTGTTTTGGGGCGTTTAGTCTCCAGCTGTGCTTTTGGGTGAGGGAGAAGGTGGGCAGGTGGGATTAGTAGTATCAGCCACTGACTGAGAACTGTGTATTTAAAAGCTGTTTAAAACTTGATCTTGACCCTGTTTGTATTTCTCTCCTGCCTTATCTCAGTTGAGACTATCAGTGGTACTGGGGGGCTGATTCTTTAAGTGGCAGGATTTCCTTTGATACAAAAATACTGAGCAGCAATATTGTCCTGTGCTGTACCAGCAAAACCTCTGCTTTTTTGCCTTTTCCAATGCCATGTTTGATGTTTTGAGATGTTCTTTTATAGGAAATAAGGACAGATGAAATTTCTCAATATGAGATGCATACTTAACAGTTTCATTTCCCCCATATATTGTAATTTTTTCTAGTGTCAACAAATGCGTGTCTTGTAAAATTCAGTTTTACTGATTTGCATTTGAAATATGTTCTGCTTTCCTTTTAGCCAACACACATAGGTTACTGAGAAGATACAATTTTTACAAAGATAAAGAATTCTGCAGCTTGGGAACTCTCTGGAGTGTCCCCCATCTTCCCTCAGCACTGTGAATTACCTGGCATTGTGAACTTGTGCATTTCAGGATATGTTCTCCAAAGTAGTCAGAGGCTTTCTACCAAGTGAAATGTATAATTTATTTGTCCTTTTCCAGCAAGGTAGAAAAATGCAGCTTTTGAGGGGACATGGAGAATTGTCGTTGCTTTCTTTCCTTATTTTTAATTCCCTCATGAGGTAGTTACAGTATCTTTTTCTTTTTTTTTTTTAAGAGATTTAATCTGCAAAGTTCTGTTGCAAGCGGTAGAGAACCAGATGTTACTAAAAAGTTCCTGCAGCTAATGCAGACAGAGGAAGGACTAGGCTGACAAACTAAGAAAGTTTTGCATGCAACTGGTGTTAATTATTTTTGTGATAAGGACAGAGCCGGCAGCCAGTCCTCAGCATTAGCCCTGGTGAATGGTTCTGGAAAGCACAGTCAGGCCTCAGAGCACAGGTCAAGTCTTTATTAAGCTAATATCCTCGGGTATCACAGCTGGGGTTTTGCTTCCTGCACTGCAGAACTGTCAGCGGAGGCTTGCATTTGCAAATGGGGTAACTGAAATAAAACAATAAAACTTTGGGAAAAACATTTCAGGGGAAGCATTACTGGAATACTTGCAGGGAGCTGGCAAGAGGGCAGGGGCAGCGCTCTGCTGTAGGTGCCCTCTTGCACATATGATGTGGTCCTTCTTTATAGCGAGTCACAGGATACAAATGACCTGTGAAGAAAAAAAATATTTCTCTGGGCCTAAAAACACAGGTAAGTGTATGGAATGACTGATGGGTTAGAGCTGTCCCGAGAGGAGTCTTGTCTCACATCAGAGTTCCCACTGGCAGCGCGCAGGTGGAAAGGCAATGTTGGAGTGCTGTGGTTTTGCCATCTTTGGTTTGTTTTTTTTTTTTTACTTTATGGAGTGGTCCCTGTCCCACTGTAGATTTTGCTCTGGACACCCAGGCTTAGTTTGCTGGAAGCTGTCACAGACATTTACAGAATGATTTACCTGTATAGCAGAGTTTAAACCAGGAAGGACATTTTTCTGGACTGTTGCGTTGGGATTTTGATCATGTGCATTTTTCTACTGTGTGGCAAACTGAAGTGATGTGTGTCTTTAGGCATGGCTTTATTGTACTTGTTTTAAATGCTGCCTCTGAGTTCTAGCTGTAGATGATCTTGCAGATCATCTTTTGTAGTATTTTTTTTTCTAGACTCTTTTTCAAGAGGGAAGGATAGCTCTGGTGTATGCAGTGAGCAAGGAAGGAAGGTTTTGAGGGATGAGGTTTCTTTTTGAGATGGGAAGGAGAAATGTTTGCTAAATGCTGCCATCCCTATCTTCTACTTCTTGGCGCATGGAGAGACTTCAGCCCGTGTTTCCTAGATAAGGCCTGTCACTGTAATCCAGCCCTAGATGTTAATCAATATATACATTCACGTGGTGCTTTACTGTTGCTTGCAGACCATTGTTGCTATTAACAAGGATCCAGAAGCTCCAATTTTCCAGGTGGCAGACTATGGACTGGTGGCGGACTTATTTCAGGTGAGGCTAAACTTGGAGATGTGCGGGATAACTGTTTCAGAGATCTAATGATAGCTTAGATTATGTCATGTAAAATGTCTGTGTGAGGGTGTTTGCTTTGAGTTGTTTTGTTAAAGAATTTGCTTTACGATTCCATTATTTGAATGCTCAAAAATTGAATCCTTGCAAGTAGGAAGCTATCGTGTGTTGGGAGGTGTTGCAGCCCGCCTGCGTCTAGTCTAGTTTCCTGAATATGAACCACCTTGAGAAGTAGTTGCCTGTTGGTGCTTACATTTATTTTAAAGCTTCATAAAGCATGAAAGTTCAGAGTTGGCAGGAGGAGTTTTAATTTTTGCCTGGGCTTGCTGCCTTACTGACGCCCATGTGGAACTTACTTGCAGTTCTCTCTGGGAAAATGTTGAGGTGGCTGTAGCTTGCATGTGTGAGCCGCCTGTGTGCACATCCACATGTGTGACTGGTGGGAGCTTGTAGTGGCCCTGTGGAGAAGTGTGGGCAGAAACTCTGCCAGCACTTAATGCCATTCCTGAACTAACGCCCACTGGCTCAGCGGTGAGCACGGGCCTTTTTGTAAGCCAGAGACAAAGTCACATTCTGCAGAAACACCATGTAGACAATTTCCTTAATAAATTTTGTACGAATGCATTATTTCCACCTCATGGAAATGTAGCGCTCTTAAATAATTAAGAGGCTTTATTCAGCGGGAGAGAAGGGGGGGGTACTGTGAGCTGGGGTGACCCACAGCCCCTGGAGTGGTGTGCTGGGCATGAGGGGTGGGGAGTGGGACTGGGGTGGGGCGGGTGAGAGGGAGAGGATGCGCTACCCCGGCACTGGTGTTTGCAGGCGGTGCCAGAGATGACGGAGCTCCTGAAGAAGAAGTGAGCACTGGCGATGGACCCTGCACTGTGTTTGGGGTGAGGAAGAAGCGCAAATAAAGGAGTGTACTGGAAAGAGGTGGGGTCACTGCAGTGTTGGGTGTTTTTTTTCTTTTTGGTGGGCAGTGGGATGGCACGCAGAGTGGTGGTGGTGGGTCAGAAGAAAGGACGATGGAAGGAAGGTAAGACAAGGGAATGTAAGACACATACAAGGCAGAAGGCAGCATGTGTTAGTCTGTGTTTTATTTCCATCCCCACTCTCCTCCCAGCTGCGGTCAGCCCCTGGGTCAGGTCAGGCCCAGGGGCCAGGCTGGGCCCAAGCTGTCCAGCAGCTAAAAAAGTCCTGTCCCTGGTCACCATAGGTCTGTGCTGGCCCCGGGCTGGTGGCCCATCCATGGTGTTCCTGGGCACTACTGGGCTGGCCCCAGGCTGGTGGCAGGTGTCCTGTGGCAGGTTCATAGTCTCTGTTCCCCCAGGCACTGTGGGTCCATGTTGGTCTAAGAGAGGAGGACAATCCATTTGTGCCCAAGAAGACACTGTAGGTCCCAGCTGGCCCAGAGCCAGGGGCAGGGTAGGGCAGGTCCATCATGTGCTACGGACACTGGTGGGCAGAGGCATTGCTGGCTTAGCCCCAGGCTGGTGGCCATTGCAGGAGATGCCACAGCTTGCCTCCAGCACTGCCCCCTTGCCTGTGGCAGCCTTGTACCCCCGCGCCGGCTGTCCCCCCC